TCCTCACTACGACCCGGCCTTTTTGCCGAGGTTGCAGCAGAGTCCGGCGGCCCTTAGTCCTTCCTCGCCGCCGGCCGTTTCGGCGACGGCCAGTTTCGCGCCTTCTCATCATTCCCCGCCCACGCATTCGGTGCCTGCTGCTTCGCCGCCGCCTATGCAAACGCAACTGCAACAGCAGCAGCAACAGCAGCAGCAGCAGCAACAGCAGCAACAACAACAGCAGCAGCAGCAGTCGATGCAGCAGCAGACGATATCGCACACGCAGCACGTGCAGCACACCTCGGTGGTGATGAAGACGGTCTCGTCGGCGGGTAACGGTGCCGGCGAGGTCGAGGAGATCAACACCAAGGAACTCGCGCAGAGGATCAGCGCGGAGCTCAAGAGGTACAGCATACCGCAGGCGATATTCGCGCAGAGGGTTCTCTGTCGTAGCCAGGGTACCCTCAGCGATTTACTGCGCAACCCGAAGCCCTGGTCGAAGCTCAAGAGCGGCCGAGAGACCTTCCGACGGATGTGGAAGTGGCTACAGGAGCCCGAGTTTCAGAGAATGTCCGCCTTGCGGCTAGCAGGTTAGTCCTTTCCGTCGAATCTCCCACGATACGTAACACGCTCCTTCTTTTCGTCACCTTTACTTTCGCCAAACGTGCTATACCGGTAGTCGCGCGCCTCGCGTATCAACACCGCGCGTTCGATCTCCTTCACGGACAGCGTGTCCTATCGTTGTCGTGTTCCCGCACGATCTAGCGTGTCGCTCGATCTTGCTCCGCCTTTCTCGAACCGCGTTCCTTCGAATCGCGTCCGCGTCTCCTTCCGTTCTAACACTTCGCACCGAGTCGCTCTTTGCTCGGACTCTTTCTCGAACCTGTGTTTCCTCCAACTTTCTCTTCTCCGCGAAACCAGCGAAAAATCTCCTCCCGAACGATGTCGCGATCGTCCCCGGTTAGGCTAGGGTCTAAAGACGCGACGGTAGGCGTAAAGGGAGTCATCGGTAGGAAAATCCAGCGGGAAGACGGCGCGAAAATTCGCTGGCACGGTGCTCGGTTTTCGGCGCTCGTTACGAGGAAAATCGGACAACGTCGAGCGTGTGCACGCGCGTAAGAGACGCGGGCGGAAGCGCACACGTGGCACCCACGTGGAGAGGCGTTCCCTTCCATATCATTCAGAGATAGACGCGCGGAATAACACTTTTCGAATTCAACATCCTTTGCCCCGGCACAACACACCGCGTACAGTTTATTGATCGTGGTCACGCGGTGCCAGCGTCACGGCGCAAACGCGACCTCGACGACGCCATGTTACCCGTGCCCCTGCCACGCTGTCCTTCCATCCCTTCCCCGTCCTCCCGAGACTTGCCCTGTCCGTTCGGGAACGTGTTATCTGTGCTGCGCGATTTCGCGCCTAATAGACACCAAACTTCCATGCTGACTGCACTGCAACCGGAACTGCTTCACGATGCAGGGTTACTTTTATCGCTCCCCGAGTTTACGAACCTTCATCGCTAAATCACTTGTTTTAACTCTCCTAAACCTGTATCGAGCTTTTATGCTTATGGGGTAATCACTCTTTATTCTACGGGGATGTTTGGTCAGTCTCTTCATCGTGGACCCAATTTCGATTAAATTAGGTGACTTTGTTCTTCACTGTCTATTTACTACAGTGGCTAAGATGCTCGTATGTGGGTCATCTCTGATTCACAGCTTTTTGCGTCGAAGCTACACCAAATGGAAACCTTGGTTCAAGGTTCTTCATCATATTAAGCTCAGCTCGTATTTGGAAACAATTTGATAGAGAGGCCATAAAATTTGAGGAATCGGAAACGATGAGCCGGAAGCGTTAAGAAGGTCAAGAAAGAGATTGCAGAAAGGGGGTTCGAGAAATAAGAAAAGCAAACTTACGTTCATGGAGGACAAACATTTCTCCCAGGCACCGTTTCTCACCCCCCTCGCCGTTCCTTTTGTAGCTTGGCAAAGGCGCAAAGATAATGTCGAGAAGGGGCCAGTGACTATTCTCTGTAGCCAGTCCTTCTTTCTCTGTCTTGCTTCGGTAAGGGTCGTGAAATGGGCCGGGATAGCTTCGAAGAAAAGCTCTGGCAGTAGCAAAGGGTTCGCTCGCGGAGACAATGCTGCTGAAGAAGAAGGGTTCGATCCAATGCCCTTCAGATTAGAGGCCCGCCATTGTTTCCCACGTTTCTTTCCCGCTCGTTTTCAAGCGTGTCTCTCGGTGTCGTCTCATTAAAACACGTTCGAGGATGCGTCCTAGTACAGCGACTATTTTAACTGATGTCGCTCCGATATTCTTTGTCGTTTTGTTTATCTTTCGAATGTGCCTGCATTCGTTATCTCGTGCCTTAATTTCCAACTCTTGCATAAAGAACGTTGTAAAGATTAGAACGATTCTTGAACTTTGCTGGACTTTGAAAAAACTAACACAAATTCATAAAATCGATCGCTAGAACATTCTTGTGGCCCAAGAATGCAAGTAAGACTCGCGACGAGCTCGGCCGCATGCAAATCCTCGTAAATGATTCAGAGCGAGGATCGATGTGAAAACGGTGCTAATTCCAGTTCTCGTATCTTCAGCTCGTACGTTGGCAATAAATGGACGCACACACGGTATTGTAGTAATAGTCGTATCGATCGAGCCACGATTCTGACCGAAGGAAACACGCTTCTTGTCCAGCAACGATGCTTAAAAGACCTCGCGTGTTCCGATCGACTGTCCGAACGATTATAAAATTGACCAAAATCCACTTTATTCATAACTTTCACGAACACGATCGAGTGTTCAACAATTTTTCTGAACGGGAATGTAAAATTGAACGGAACGATCAAAAAATATTTCGGGGTATAATTGTTAATAAATAGATTGGTTGAAATCCAGCGTATATCTGGCCCGTTTCTGACCATCGTTCGCGCTTAATCGCGTCCACCGCTGTTATCGATCGTTGAAACGGGTCAGGTACATTAGTTACAGAGCCAGCAGGTCTCCCGTGTCCACTTATTTACTTTTCCCCACCAAGATATGTCATTATCCGTGCTCGTGACTGCGCCTCTGATTTCAGTTTCCGTGATCTACGCCATTTTGAACTTGTCGCGTGCCAAACTCGCTTAAGTGAAAATCGTAATTCGTTATCGGGAAGTTTAAGTAGGTTGACTTTGTCAGAACTTCCGATTGAGCCTTGACAATCGAAGGTTATCCACTTTTACTTTGAGCTTCGCTTCCGACTTCTGCAAATCTTAGCAATAGTGTCAAGCTTCTTTGGAGGATCCTAACTTCTCTCTGGGGATCAGGGTCTCATTTTTCGTCCAATTTCTCATAAGGTCTTTTCGTCAGATTTGTTAGGAGGTCTCATTTAGGGCAACTGAATTTGTTTTGGGTAGTTGCATAGTTCTTTGGAGGATCATAAGTTCTGTTTGATCAGTGGTCTGATTTTTGGTCAAATTTGTTATAAAAGTCATGATGTCATGGGGTCATCATGAGGTCTTCTGGTCAGACTTGTTAGGAGGACTCATTTAGGGCAACTGAATTTGTTTTGGGTAGTTACATAGTTCTTTAGAGGATCATAAGTTCTGTTTGGTGATCAGTGGTCTGATTTTTGGTCAACTTTGTCATAAAGTCATGATGTCATGGAGTCATCATGAGGTCTTCTGGTCAGATTTGTTAGGAGGACTCATTTAGGGCAACTGGATTTGTTTTGGGTAGTTACATAGTTCTTTAGAGGATCATAAGTTCTGTCTGGTGATCAGTGGTCTGATTTTTGGTCAAATTTGTTATAAAGTCACGATGTCATGGGGTCATCATGAAGTCTTTTGGTCAGATTTGTTAGGAAGTCTCATTTAGGGCAACTGGATTCCTTTTGGACAGTTGCATAGTTCTTTAGAGGATCCTGAGTTCTGTCTGGTGATCAGAGGTCTGATTTTTGGTCAAATTTGTCATAAAGTCATGATATCATGGAGTCATCATGAGGTCTTCTGGTCAGATTTGTTAGGAGGACTCATTTAGGGCAACTGGATTTGTTTTGGGTAGTTGCATAGTTCTTTGGAGGATCCTAAGTTCTGTCTGGTGATCAGTGGTCTGATTTTTGGTCAAATTTGTCATAAAGTCATGATGTCATGGATTCATCATGAGGTCTTCTGGTCAGATTTGTTAGGAAGACTCATTTAGGGCAACTGGATTTGTTTTGGACAGTTGCATAGTTCTTTGGAGGATCCTAAGTTCTGTCTGGTGAACAGTGGTCTGATTTTTGTTGAAACTTCTCATGAGGTCTTTTGGTCAGATTTGTTAGGAGGTCTCGTTTAGTGCAACTGGATTTTGGATACATAGTAAGCGATGTTTACATAGGATCATATACTGAGGGATGTACTTAGCTCAAACTAGAAAATCGTATATATAAAACTGTTCCCTGTTCGATCGAGTTCCAGAACTCGCCTCAAAGAACTTACAGATGCGACTGACAGCTGGTCGTGGAAAGGTGTCGTTCGCAGCCCTCGAAACGCGACCGACAAAGAAAGGAGACGGTCATATGAGCGACGAGGATGGTGCTCCTGACGTCACGACCCTCGTGGTACCCACATCATCTGTCGGCGTTGTAGAGGTGCTTCGAAAGGTGAAACAAAAAAAAGAAAGACGAAAAAAAGGAAGAAGAAGACCGTAAAGAGGTTCTGTTTCAAGGATGCGTCCTCGTTGCGTTCCCTGCACTTCGTGGGCATCTTCTTCCTGCCCCTGCAGGACTTTGTTGTTTCTGATAACAGTTGTAAAATATTTTTAAGCTCTGTCGAAAATAAAGTTATAACTTTGTGAATTGGTGAGACTTATCCCGACGTAACCTGAACACTTCTAGCAGAAATACCTTGAAAATGGAGGAAGAGACAAAAGAGGAAATTCTTAGGAACACGTGCGAGCGTTCTCTGTTGGCACGCACGATAAACAGCAATCGATGATGCGGGCTTTTACGCTGACCACCGTGGTTTCCGGCCTGTAGTCACAGGACAATTATTTTCAACGTGTTGGCTCCCCTGTTTCCAGGCCTGAGATTCCTTTTTTCTTTTCTTCCAAGTATAGAATATTCCCCCCTCACCGTTCGCTTCTGTTATTAACACCTCTCGCAAATCAAATACATAGGCACTATCGCTTCGCAGACTTTTTATATCACACGGTTTTTGTCAATTTACAAGCTTGTAAGTGTTTTATCAATTTAATTAGATCCGTGCAACTGATTTTGTAACTTGACGCTTTCGGCGCCATTTTGTTTACGACTCGTCGATCTAAGATTCTAGAAAATTATTTGAAGAGTCACGAAGGCTCGAGGCGAAAGAATTCTTGTTAACGTTTACCGTGTCGTTCGAGGAGAGCAGGCTTATCGTCAAACATACCAGTGTCACATTTCGTTTATCAACGAACGACGCAAAGTTTAATTCGAATCACTTGTCGCTATTAACCGAGGTTGCGTTCGAAGAAAACGCAATCGATTCTTCCCTGCTTCCTCTCAAATATAAATTTAATTTTATGATACGGAATTCGATTTTCTAATCCATCCACAAAAGGTGAAGGGTCGAAGGTCAGGATTTCC